CAGCGCCTCTCGGAGCCGGCGGCCGGGCGGGCGGGCGCGTAATGCTCCCGGAAGGCTTATTCACTTCGCTCCATTCTTCGTGTTGTTGTTTTTTTTTTTATTTTCATTTTGGGGGGAGCCGGCGAGACAGCTCCTTTCGGGGCGCGCTAGTTCCAGGTGGGCGAGGGGGTGGGGGCCGGCCGATCGGATTCTCGCTCGCGCGTGTGTGTGGAAGCGGCCCCCGCCGCGGCGGCGGAGACGACAACAACTTGCTGGTTTTCAGGTTGGGTTAACGGCATGGAGAACAGTCACCCCCACCACCACCATCACCAGCAGCCCCCGCCGCAGCCCGGCCCTTCGGGCGAGAGGAGGAACCACCATTGGAGAAGTTACAAGTTGATGATTGACCCGGCTCTGAAAAAGGGGCACCATAAACTGTACCGCTACGATGGGCAGCATTTCAGCCTGGCGGTGAGTACACGGCCACCCCCCAGACCCCCGCGAGGGGGCCCGAGCGGCTGGGAACCCCCCTCCCGACCACTCGGCCAACTGTCAGCCCGGGCCCCAGCCCCGATCTGACGGGTGCCTGGAGAGAGGGGGTCCAACCCTGCCTGGGGAGAGGGGGGCAACCTTCCCATTCCACACCGCCCCCCCTCCAATTTCCTTTCTCCCCTAGATGTCCAGCAACCGCCCGGTGGAAATTGTCGAAGATCCCAGGGTTGTCGGGATCTGGACCAAAAACAAGGAACTGGAGCTCTCCGTGCCCAAATTCAAGGTGGGACCCCTTCCCCCTGCCCCATGGTCCGTCCCCCCGGCCCCGGAGTTCGAAAATAACGCCAGTCCTGGCCCAGCCCTGCGGGATTCTGAGTTCCCGCCGTGCAGGGCCCGGGAAGTTTTGGCGGGGAGGGGGGAGAAGCGGTGTCCCCTCCCCGCCCCTGGAAACAAAATAACACTCGGAGAAACTGTAATCAGGGCGCTGATACAGTGTATCCCGCCGGGCCAGCTGGGGGCTCTGGGTCCCCACCTGGATCCTACCCACCCTTCGGCTTGGGGACCCGCCCCCCTTCCCAGCCGGGTGGCTGTAGGGGGACAACTTCCTGGCTCAAAGGGGTCACCCCT